TGAATGATGAGCCAAGTTGCTCTTCCTCTTGCATCTTCCAGCCACTAAGACACACTGTCTGTCACCCATAAGACAGGTTCTAGTTCCCTCTCACCTTCATGTTAGGATCCTACGCTATGGGGCGCCATGGCATCCTCTTGGTAACACACAATAAAATTGTGCACTTAGTGCATTGGTTTTATTTTGTTTTGTTTTGTTTTTTGATGGAATCTCACTCTGTTGCTCAGGCTGAAGTGCAGTGGCACAATCTTGGCTTGCTGCACCCTCTGCCTCCCAGGTTCAAGCGATTCTCCTGCCTCAGCTTCCCGAGTAGCTGGGACTACAGTTATGTGCCACCACACCTGACTAATTTTTGTATTTTTAGTAGACATGGGGTTTCACCATGTTGGCCAGGCTGGGCTTGAACTCCTGACCTTGGGTGATCCACCTGCCTTGGCCTCCCAAAGTGCTGGGATTATAGGTGTGAGTCACCGTGCCTGGCCAGTTGCACTGTTGATGTATTCCTAAGATGCAAAGATCATTGCACTGTTGATGTATTCCTAAGATGCAAAGATCAGACATCACCACCTGAAATAGGTCACTATTTTCCTCAAGACATTTGGCAAGATATTTCGGGCAGAGGCCTGTCTTCAATGCCACACATCTCTTATGGTTTCTAATGTTCAGATAATGATTTTTTTAAAAAATCTCCTCCTATGCTAATGAAAGCCACGCTTAGGTTATTCTGGGAAAGTGGAACTTAGAGGCCAGAGGGGCATGCAAGATACCTACTACTTTTCTGCCAATAAAAAGGCCTATTATGAATTCATTTTTTTTTTTTTTTTTTGCAGTTAAAAGCAGACAAGATAGGAATCCAGAATTTTGAGTTTAGCAGCCCAAACATACCTTCTCACTCAAAAACACATTCACCAAGATTGCCAGGTAGCCAGCAGGACGTTACAGCTTTTACCATCTCATATCAGAAGTAGAAGATATTCCATCGTGACAGTGTTAATTTTACGTTTGTTGCATTTGATAGCAATAAACATGTGTAAGTAGTTTGAACACACTATCTGCATATCTGAGATGAAGAAACAAGAAGCCGGTTCCTATGCATGACTTGAACGTGTGAGTCAATTCCTGAGGAAATGCTGGCCAAAGACAACTACTATTATTTGAGACAATGACCCCTTGGGGAGCCTTGCTGTGCTACTCCATGGTAATAAGATTTGACAGGTAGAAAAAAGAAGAGATCAGGGCATAATAGAAAAACACAGCTAGAATACATTTACTACATTGTAGGTTATTTCTTTTCCACAAAGGCAGGGAGCGAGTATGAGGGGAGGAGGCCAAGGGAACACAGTGGCATTAAGGACAGAAAAGAAGAAAGCTAATTTTGCATCGTGCTCGTGATGAATTTCCAGCAATGGGATTTTACTGAAGCCTGATGCATCACCTTCTTGGGAAGGTCTACAGTGACCCTTGAATACAGTGACCATGTCATCCTATGAATTTGCCAAGAAAATTAAGACACTCTAGTAAGAGTACAGCCATGAAGGAAGACAGACGTCTAGATCCATGCCCAGCTAGGCCTGTATGATAGACAGAATACAAGCTGGCAGAATTGGTCACCAGCCAACCTAAAAGAAGAAATCAAAAGCAAGGTCTGTTTGTTATTTTGTTACATCTGGGAAAGAATTCTGGAAGACGCAGAGGAACATTCACTACCATTTGGCCCAGGACCAGCAGCTCGACCACACTCAGACACTCTGTCCCCAGTGCCAAGTGGTTCTGTTTCTCTAGAGAACCCTAGCACACCCGCCTTTATTAAATGGCCATCCAGTACTATTTTATTGAGCAGCCAGAAGCAGAGCAGCTTTACTCACATTCTGTTAACTCAGTTTTTCCTCCCCTCCATAAACTGTTTGCTAGGGGCAGTCTTGCCAGTGCAGCTAAGCTGCGTGTGAATGGTAAGGTCTCCTGGGCCCTCTACACCCTCTCTCCCTCCCCAGGTCGTGCCTCTATCGGAAGCATGCTTGTAATAGCTAATATCCTCCTGGGGCCAGGGTGTGTTCCACCAACAGCATATGCAGGAAGCAGTTCCAGCTTTTAGAGAAATGCGGGTCGCAGGAAATGAACCATGGAAGTTAAGGTGTGTTTGAAGAAAAGTCAGTGTTTTGGTTCTCAGGATGGTAGTTAGATCTAAGTATTGGTACGAGGAGAAAAAGAGAGAGGGAGAGAAAGGGAGGGCGAGAAGGAGAGAGAGAATGAGAGACAGGAAGAGAAAAGAGGAGAGGAAAGGACAGGAGAAAGGAAGGGGAAGAGAGACTGCCTTTACAGAGCAGGAGGGACACTGCAAGCTTGAGGTTGCACTTGGCCATGAGTATGGGGAAGGCAGGTGGAGGTGAGGTTGGGGGGTCAGCTCCTTTTCACAGTAACTCTGCTGTAAGAATTCCACCCTTCCCTGAGAAGAGGAAGACCAATTTCTAACCATTTTTAAACCCAAGCAATAGTACTATAAGAAACAGACACATGCACATGTACACACACACACACACCCACACACATGATTGTGAAACTCGTGAAATCTGAATAAACTCTGTGGATTGTACCAGTGTCAATGCCCTAGTTTTGGTATTGTCCTACCTGTAAGATCTTACCGTGGGGGAAGATGAGGAAAGGCATACGAGACCTCTCTATCTTTCTGCAACTTCCTGTGAAAATACAATTATTTCAAAATATAAAGCTAAAGAAAAACGTCAAGTAGAGCTAGAATATGGAAAATGGGACTAGCTGCATAAGAGTCCGGCCCTCCCTATGCCTCAAACCACCCAGCCAGCAATGCAGAGGCTGTGGAGCTACATCCATGAACTCCAGGACTTGGGGGCGTACATCCAAGCTTTTGGGCTGCCTGAAAGCAAATCAAGCATTGGTCCAGTGGGGTGCACCTGGGCCCCCACCATCCTCTGCTGAGGAATTTCACTTCTAGAGACTCTGCCATTGGATTTTGTCTTCTTCCTGCTGATTCCAGTTGAAAGCCCACTAGTAGCTATTAATAGAAGTCACTCTGGCAAGGTTGTCCTCCCCTCGACAACTGCCCAGGTCTAGCCCAGCCTAGGCCACTAGCAGAGAGCAGAAGGCACAAAAATACCTTTACAGCTGAGATTTGTTCAAACCCTGCTCACTCTAAACCTGGCTCGTTTATCCCATTCTATTTTACTTTATGAATGTCCAAGAAAACCTTTCTAGGAGAATTGTTGCTTCCCTCAGTATGCAAAACAGATGCTGCTGGCTGCTCTCCTGGAGCTCCTCCTCACCTCTGGCAAGGTTCACACACTGCTGGTTTGGAGAAGCCTGCCTTCCAGAGCCCACGTGGCTGGGGGAGAGGGGAGCAGGCGCAGTTTGGGGTGTGCTGGGTTCATCCACTATAGTGCTGTCCTCCCTTGGGCTGAAGCCATAGAAGTCAGCAGGACAGACAGCAAGGGAGTGTCACATAGAGGCCAAGGAAGAAATAGTAAAAATGAACAGTCTTCTATTTCATGATGAAGCTTTGACTTCTTTCCTCAGCTCATTTGCTGAAATACAGTGAAGTGTCCGGAGGAAACACTTATCTCTGCCCTTGAATTCCCAGAACACCAACTCTGATTAACTTTCTGACGTTATTGTTTCACAAAGTCCAAAGCCAGCTGATCCGTCTTACACGTATTAAAAGTTACTGAGGCAAGGCTCCAAGGGAAAGTCTCTCCACTCTCAGCCTGCCCATCACTGTTCACACTGTAGAAGGAGAGCTACTTTAAAATGCAACCCACCATCTTTTCTTTTGGTAGGTGATTCCGAGGCATTTGCAGCATAGATAAAGCCTGGAAATTGATAAAGCGATTGTTTAAAGCAGTGATTGCCACCAGGGGTGAGTTTGTCCCCCATGGATACTTTGGTAATGTCTAGAGATATTTTGGGTTGTCACAGCTAGAGGGAATGGGGGTGCTGCTGGCATCTGGTGGGGAGAGAGCAGGGATGCTGCTGGACATCCCACGATGTGCAGGACAACACCCACCACAAAGGATGCCCAAAACAAAATGTCAATAGTGACAACATTGAGGAATCCTGTCTTAAGGTTCTCAGCTAATTTACTACAAATAACCACTATTATTTATCCAGCCAACAATCACTGGAGATCTAAAGCAATCTTGAGACATTATGCATAGCCCTGGCACCGGGGAGTCAGCTTTGCAGCATCTAGTGGAGGAATGACAGAGGTATACAAACAAACATGATGTAATATAGAGCATGCAGAGTGCCTGAGTGCAAATGCAAATAAATGCAGAGAAGGACATGAGTTTGAGAGGATGGGTTTGGGGGAGGAGGAGGAACCAATGTCACTTTCCCCAAGAGGACCACAGACTGCATGTTTACACTCAAAGATATCACTCTTGCATATGAATTTGAAATAACTGCTTGGAAAGCTCACCAAACCCCTAAGCACTTTTTAAGCAATCTGTCTTTCTGCTTTTATATACAGATCCTCAGAGAGATGCAGCCTACAGCTTTCTTTGTGACTTTGTTCCTTATTAAGATTATTTTCCTAACAACAATGTGTTTCTAGCACCAAGAAAATGCTTTGCTTCCTTCTCCAACCCTTAGTTGATTCTTTCTATCCATTCCTTTAAAATATTGATAAACAGACAGTGTAATTCTGTAGCTGCTGATTAACAATTTAATACATACTTAGCCTCTTTTTTTTGCGTGGATAGCAGCTTAAATTTATCCACAATTTTGAGGATGCACCTTCCTAAGCATCTGTTCGTTGGTGTCTATCTTTTTCAATACAGAGTGCCAAGGATGTAGCAGGAACTATCATCTCCAACCCCCTGCTCCTATTTTCCAGGCTGAAAGAAGCCCTAGGAAACCACAGAGATACTTAGGAAGGAGTCCAATGAGCATAAGACAAAGGGCTCTTCCCTACCCTTAGGAAAACTAGTGACTGGACCAAAGGGGTTTTGATCAAACAAAAGTGTACTTACGTTAGGTTTGCAAGGCTGAAATTGCCTAGTGATCATTTCCATTGCAGATATCTTAGACAATGATGCATCTTCCAGGTCAGCAAGTGGATGATAAAACTGTCTGGAACACTGTCATTGGCAAATGTGAGCTCATAGCTAAGCCGAAATGGAAATCAGTTATGAAACAGAACTACCAGATGCCATATGACTACACACAAAATATTCTGGGCAATCTTACAAATCAAATAAGTAACATATGCAGTTGAGGTTCTACTTTGTGAGTTTCACTCCACAGTACCAGGAGCAATTTGTTTGTTTGTTTGCTTTTAACTCTGCCTTTGAATCTTGACTCTGACACTCTCTAATGTGGGGATCCAGGTAAGTTGATACAACGTCTCTGAGTCTATATTTTCATAACCGTAAAGTGAGGTACATTATACCTATCTCTTCAGATTGTTGTTTATTCTGCAAGTCCTGTCAGGTAAACGAGGACCATATCAGTTATTTTAACAGAGAGAATTTGATATAGGGAGTTGGTCAGAGAACCAGTTGCTGGAGAACCTAAAGAACAAAAAAAGGACCTCTGAGGGCTGAGAGAGCAAAGGATGTGGGGATTAGAAACTGGATGCTTGGGCTGGGTGCGGTGGCTCAAGCCTGTAATCCAGCACTTTGAGAGGCCGGGGCGGGTGGATCCCGGGGTCAAGAGATCGAGACCATCCTGGCCAACATAGTGACACCCCATTTCTACTAAAAATACAAAACTTAGCTGGGCTTGGTGGCACATGCCTGTAGTCCCAGCTACCTGGGAGGCTGAGGCAGGAGAATTGCTGGCAGAGGTTGCAGTGAGCCGAGATTGTGCCACTGTACTCCAGCCTGGAGCCTGGTGACAGAGTAAGACTCTGTCTCAAAAAAAAAAAAAAAAAAACAAAGAAACTGGATGCCTGACAGAAGAACGCATGGAGCTGAGACACAGACTGCTAAGGAAGGGGTGGCAGCTTCTGATGGGCTGTTATTGCAGTAGCTTAGGGCCCCACAGAGCTGAGCCTCGGCTGATGCTGGGAAAGTGCAAAAAAGAGCAGGAAACTGGAACCAACTGCCACTGCCAGGGTGATGGGCCATCACCACCGACACTCTCACCAAGCACTCAAGAAGGAGCAAGCCCCTTCTTCAAGTCCAGCCTCCCTCTCCCTGGTACCTTGACTGGCAGAAAGCAAAAGAGAAACGTGATTGCCGAGAGCCCAGTTAAAAAGCAGAGGAGAGAGGGCTGGATTTGGAGCTGAGAAACAGCTCCACTCTATGGCCCACCCATTCACTCGTCATGTGCACTTACGGAGTACGTAGTGTGTCAGACTGTGAGGCTCTCTGGTAGGTGCTGGGGAACCTGGAGAATTAAATGGAAAAATGCTAGTAAAGTGCAACGCTCAGCTGTTAGTACAAGGTAAACCCCTGTTAAAAATAGCTCTCCTGACTCCAGCCCCATGGGAAACATAAAGGAAAAGGAAATGGAAAACAAAACAAACAGAACAGAACAAGAAACTAGCTCTGACCTTCAAGGAATCTCATATTTAGATTGTGTTGTGGGATAAGCCCCGTAGCAAAGTACAGAGTGATACATGTTTGTACACTTTACCGAGAATGCCAGACATCATTGTTTTAAGAATTCAAGGAAGCAAGAGAACATTTAGGGGCAGGGAAGCCTTCACAAAGAAGATGGGAATGATCAAGACCCAAGATTTAGACAATGGCCAAAAAGGCTAAGACCACTGCGAATGGGAGAAAGCACACAGGCAAATCAAACACGGTGGAAATGTGCTGGTGTGTAGGTTGCCACCTTGGTCTCAGGAATGGAGGACGGATTGTTGATGTGGAGCATGGATATTGGAGCCAGTGGATCATTTCTGGACCTATTCTGATGCATAGATAAGCCACTGGAGCTTTGTAAATGAGCAGAAGTTACATGTAGAACATATTATCCTTATAGCCCCTATCATAACTAACTCAATACCTTGTACATAGTGGAATATTTGAGAGTGAGAAATATTACATTAAATGGGGTGAGATGGGATGGGATGGGATAAAATGGAATTACTAAGGCAGGTCTTAACTTCGAAAATCTTTTGAGAAAATATTTCCAGCCTAACTATTTTTTTTCTTTTCCTTGAGACGGAATTTCCCTCTTGCTGCCCAAGCTGGAGTGCAATGGCGTGATCTCAGCTCACTACAACCTCTGTCTCCCAGTGTCAAGTGAATCTCCTGTCTCAGCCTCCCGAGTAGCTAGGATTACAGGTGCATGCCACCACTCCTGCCTAATTTTTTGTATTTTTAGTAGAAACAGAGTTTTGCCATGTTGGCCAGGCTGGTCTCAAATTCCTGACCTCAGGTGATCCACCCACATCAGTCTCCCAAAGTGCTGGGATTGCAGGCATGAGCCACCGCACGCAGTCTGAACCTAAATATTAATGTCTACTCAAGCTCTCCTAACTTTTGTATCTCCCTCTGTTTTAATAATACTAATACTCTATTAAATGCTTTGTGCAATCCATGAACAATTTTAAGACCAAACATTCAGGAACTAAAGTAACTCAGGCAATGATAAAAATTTTCTATGATAAAAACGTCAACAAGTAAAAATATAACCGAACTAGCAAGACACTTCATCCCATGGATGGAAACCCTGTCGTCAGCGTGAACCTGACATTAGCTTTGAAGACACTGCAGGGAGCTGATGATTTTTAAAAGTGTTGGGCAATATGCTTTTTTTTTTTTTTTTAATTTTTTATTGGATTTTAGGTTTTGGGGTACATGAGCAGAGCATGCAAGACAGTTGCGTAGGTACGCACATGGCAGTGTGCTTTGCTTTGCTTCTCCCCTTCACCCACATTTGGCATTTCTCCCCAGGCTATCCCTCCCCAGCTCCCCTCCCACTGGCCCTCCCCTTTTCCCCCAATAGACCCCAGTGTTTAGTACTCCCCTTTCTGTGTCCATGTGTTCTCATTTTTCATCACCCGCCTATGAGTGAGAATATGCGGTGTTTCATTTTCTGTTCTTGTGTCAGTTTGCTGAGGATGATGTTCTCCAGATTCATCCATGTCCCTACAAACGACACAAACTCATCATTTCTGATTGCTGCATAATAGTCCATGGTGTATATGTGCCACATTTTTGCAATATGCTTTTGAATAAATGTAGTAATTCATGTGGAAACAATATTGGTGCAAACTTTGAACATCTTTGCAGAATATACAATTAGTTGTACTCACAACTAATCCATTGTTTTCTTCTTCACAGATCCATTACAAGATTTTGGCTTTTCTATCGAAAAGTGTTCCAAGGAATTAAAACCAAAAGTCAACATTAGATTTGGAATTATCCTGAGTAAGTTAAAAAAAAAATGATTAGCCTGAAATAAAGCGTTTCACAGCCTCTTCCGACTCCACACACCCAATGACTTGTTAACTATAATGACTGGCTAAACTACTGTTCCTTCACCACTCTCTGGAATTAACTCTATTTACATCTTCATTTTCAAATCTCTCTCTAGGTAAAATCCAGGTAGGGTTGAACTCTCATTTAATGCTGTACTTTTGTGTTTAAAAGACTTCAGACGGGGCTGGGCGCGGTGGCTCCCAGCACTTTGGGAGGCCAAGGCAGGTGGATCACGAGGTCGAGAGATCAAGACCATCCTGGTCAACATGATGAAATCCCGTCTCTATTAAAAATACAAAAAATTAGCTGGGCACGGTGGCGCGTGCCTGTAATCCCAGCTACTCAGGAGGCTGAGGCAGGAGAATTGCCTGAACCCAGGAGGCGGAGGTTGCGGTGAGCCGAGATCGCGCCATTGCACTCTAGCCTGGGTAACAAGAGCCAAACTCCATCTCAAAAAAAAAAAAAAAGACCAGACACTCATTTGGATGATATAAGCCCCTGAAATCAGTACGCCCAGCAAAAAAGGAAAATATTTTGAGATTAAGTGTCAATGTCTACTCAGCCTCTCCTAACTTTTGCTTAGTTAGCAACAAATAAATCTCTACCAGCAGTATGGTTTGTCATTGGTGTTATTTGGCACCCCAAATAGTTCATACAAGTTCTTCAACCTGGACAAAGGCAAGGAGGGGAGGTAATATTTTCTCCCCAACCCCAATCAATCAGAGTACTTTCTGACTGTTTAATTTCCATGTGATCGTGCAATTACGGTTAGTCAATATATTTGCTATAGCTACTAGACTATCTCCTTTTCCAAAACAGTTATATCAAAATCAAAGTAGAGAGGTTTTAAAAACTTAGCATGTGGAATCATTTGAGGGAAATGGAGGGAACGTTCACAGAAATCAAGAACTCTCACGCATCTTTGTATTTCTAGAATCTCACAGAGTATCTGGGCTCTAGCAGCAGCTCGAGAAATGTTACAGGGAGAGAAAAAGAGAGAAAAGAGACATGGAAGAGTGGGTGGAACATAAAAGGGAGGAATGGAGAAAAAGACAGAATTGGAAGCCATGCCAGTGGGACCCGCTGCCCCTTCCTGTGTACCTGCACTGCAGTACCTCCTGGGCGACAGCAGCAGGTGTATGCAGGCGTGACCACACCCCATCGCCACCATGGGGAACAAATGATACTATGCAGCTGGGAAGCTCCAGAAGCCAGGCCTGCAGACATAACTTTAAAAGGCCATAGCATCACGGTGGGGAGCTCAGCTGATTAGCTACCTTGCTCCAAGCAGGTATTTTGAGAAACGGCCGCCTTTCATACCCAGGGTCCCGTGGTAATCCCCTGTAGCACTGACTAAGTGTTGTTTTACCAAGGAAAGAAAACTGTTCCCCACAGAGAGCAGAGCAATGGAAACAGAAGGTTCTTTAGCTCATACTGCTGTACACTGTGAATGCCTTTGACACGCAGTGAAACACACAGTAAGAGTAAAGCTGTTCTTCTCTTTCCTCCAGGAGAGGACATCAAAGAGCTATTTCTTGATCTAGCTCTTATGGCTAAAGGCTCATCTGTTTTGAATTTCTCCTATCCCATCTGTGAGGAGGCTCTGCCCAAGTTTTCCTTCTGTGGAAGAAGGAAAGGAGGTAAGTCATCTGTCTTGCTCACTGCTGGCAGGGGCCTGCAGAGAAATCAACACAAACTTGCATCCGAGGCCGGGACGCCCGGATCAGAGCCCGGGCTCTGCCCCTCACCTTTGCACGAGCTTATCCTCACTTACCAGCATGTGTTACAGAAAAATAACATTCCATAGGCCCATTCAGTAAGGCCTACCTTACAGGGCTGTTGTGAACATCAAAATGAAATGACACACATGAGATGCTTGAAAACAGAACATTGCTACTGTGAATAGCAACATCTTATAAAAAGGGCTGGCAGCAAAAAGAGCCAAGAACTTCCAAAAACTCACTGAGGTTCAGAGTGCTTCCAGGTTTTCCCTCCACAACTTCCATAGTGGGAGGGTGTCCTTAATATAGTAACGGACTTCAAAAAGAGAAAAAATTAAACTTACATCACTGCCTTTCCCACGTGGGTCATTGACTAACAGAGGCATTAGGTAGTTACACTCGAAGTACAGAGGCAGAAACTCCATTATATTAGCTACCTTTTCTCCAGTGCACCAACTCTTTACCCCCACCATACAGCCTCAAAGAAAGAGCAGGTAATCTTTGCCCACCTGTCCCTATTTCTCCTTTCCTCCTTGTCTTCCCGAGGCTCCACCAAGGCTCTGAGACCCTTCCGTGGTGTAGTTAAAACCTGGCTCTATTCTCTGACTATCCTTCCCCAAGAGTGGTTCTCCCCTAGCTGCTCTCCCCTCCCAGGGTCTCCTTCCTACTCCCACTGGCTAAGGCAGAGCATACCCCCAACACACCCCTCACCCCACAGCTCAGAAATACTCCTTTATTGAACTCCCCATTCAAGAGAGCTAGAATTTTGAACAGTCGAGTTCCTTGTGAAATGGTGCAATTACTCCTTTTAAATGAAAGATCCAGAAGAAATCAGAATCTCCTTCCTACACTGAGGCATGCAGACAGAAAGAAAATAAGGAACTTCAGGGAGGGTTGACCAGATGGAAGCCGGGGGAACTCTGCTGGGATCTGCATAGGACAGACTCAGCCTGGCTCCCTCACCACCCTTGCCATCCTCCCAAGCATGTGGCACACCACTATTCTAGCATTTGCCACGCTGAACTATCCTGGTTTACTCCCACATATGCTCCACATTGGACACGAGCTGCTTGAAGGTAGGGTCATATCACCTTTGTCTTTTTACCCCCAGTATTTCCAATGTGGCTGACACACACAGAGCACGAATACAGACACACACAGAACAAAATGGCTAACATGACTGAGCACTTTCACCAGGCCCTGTTAAAGGAGCTTTAGATCCAGTAAGTCATTTACTTCCCACCCCAACCTTACAAGTTAATAGGGTATTAATATTCCAACTTTATAAATGTGGAAACTGAAGCACAGAGTTTAGGAACTTACACCAAGTCACAGAGCCTGAGAGATCCACAGCTTGAACCCAGGCAGGCTGACTCCAATCTCAGCTTTAATGAATGAATGAATAAAAGAACGAACAATACAATAAATGAAGGTGTCTTGCTTTTGGACAGGGGTTTATTTAAAATTATCATTTAAGAAATCTTTCTGCCCAATGATCTGACTTTGTTTCATATTGGGATCTTTTTTATTATTAGCTCACCCACCTTAAAATGATAAATCCATATTCCTCTTTCAACTTACTGGAGAGATTTCTGATTAATCAAGTATGTTCATGCATTTCTCAGAATGCTGAACTCATCATTAGTCCATCCCTATTTAACCTTTTCCACCTGCCCTCAGCTGGGCGGACCCTGACTCCTCACCCACAGTCAGTCCTTTCTCCCTCCTCCCCTCCCTCCCGCCCCTTCCTCCCTCCCTCCCTCTCTCCCTTCCCTTCCTCCCTCCTTCCCTTCCTCTCTCTCTCCCTCCCTTCCCTTCCTCCCTCCCTTCCTCCCTCTCTCCCTCTCTCTCCCTCCCTCCCCTTCCTCTCTCCCTCCTTCCCTGTTTTCCCTTCCTCCTTCCCTCTTTCCCTCCCTCTCTTCTCTCCCTCCCTCCCTTCTCCCTCTCCTTCCCTCTCTCCTTTCCTCTCGTCTTCAGCCACATCTTGCTCCATGTGCCAGCCATACATACCTTAGGCAGTTGCCTTAAGGACTTGTTTGCCACTTTCTCTTCAGAACCTGCATTTTAACATATGCAACATCGTTTGGGTGGTCCCCTTAGCATGTATGGCCCACTTGCCAGTTGCTTTTTATCCAGATCTAGCTCAAGTAGCTCTCTCTGTGTCTCTAGCTTCCTCCAGCCCCAGCAGATAAAGCACTCCCTCTGGGTACTCTGGGAGTATCGTGTTCCTGCTTCTGCTGCAGCCCTTACCTCAGCTGGAATCAAATTTTATGGTTAGCGTGTGTGTCCCTCCCAATTAAACTTCAAACTGCTTGAAGAAGGGCATGTTTCTTGCTCCTATCTGTCTCTACAGACATGACAAAGAGAGCTGGCACAAAGTAAAGATACAATAGATACTTGTTTTATTGCATTTGCATGTGAACATATGATGGATTGAACACAAGTATAAGGTGAACAGAGCTCACCTTAAAAACGACACTTCAGGCTGCTTACACGTGGCATAAAGACACAACATGCATCAAACCTTAGCGCAGAGTACATTTTCCTGGTCCTCCAAGTGTAAGAAAACCTTGCTATGTTTTCCTGTGTATGGTTTTAATAGGATTGAGAAGACAGAAGAGAGATGGTTCCCTAAATCAGTTTGAGGTGTTCAGTTCAGTTTAACAGCTCAGAAGGCTGACGTTTTACTTATATGAATGCTGGGCAGCTCTGCAGCCATTTATTTGCTTTATTTCAATAGGAGTGATGACTGCATAGGCAAGCTGAGAAGCTGGCATCGGGGAAATTGCCAGGAAACTTCATATAGTGTCAAACGATCAGAAAAATGATACACAAATGCTGCATGAACAAATAATTACATGAATCACATAAGCCAGAAAAACTAAAATCTTAAATTCAGAGGCTTCTTGGATTATTAAACTTTTTAACCCACCCAAAAACCTCCTGCAGGAGTGATTCTATTCCAAAGAAGTGATTAATACTGAGACCAGAGCGGGGAGAACGGCACTTGGGAGAACTAAAGTGAATCCAAATCCAAGCTCAAGCTGCTGTCGACACGTTACACATAAAAAGGAGTCTCTCTGGGGCTTGCAGGTCCTTCTTAGCAGAGCAGTGAGAAAACTGAATGTCCACCGTGGGTGGCACATTATGGTGTCACTCGCAGTTGAGCTGTTTGGCGTCATTGCCATGGCCTTACTATGTATTCTTCTACAAACTGCATCTCACCGGCTTTTCTCTAAGCCAGATAAAACTACAAAATGGGTCAGGCTTAGTGAGATGGGAATGCTGCCTCCTTTTCCCTCTGCGTTGTCCTCAGCTCACTTTAAGGCAAGCGTCACATTGGATTCAAAGACCAACTGATGCTCCTTCAGTATCATTACTTAAGCTGTGATTGACGATTTGGGGGAAATAGCGCATATGACCAATGGTCGGACATGGACTAAGTAGGTCATTATTCAGCCAAACAAAGGTACAATATCCTGTGATTTTCAAATGATGCCGTAGGTTACTAAATTACATGAAAATATACTTGTAAGAATATTACGTGACAAAGAAGCATGCTATAACAGCATAGTCACTATTGAATCCTGTTGTATAAAATGCGTGTAAGTGTATACGCCAAACAGAACTCTGAGAGGCTGAGACTGCTTATCTCTGCAGATCTTTATTTTCATCTTTTTTGAAAACTCACTTGCTTTTATGATAAATTTGCAAGGTTACTCTTTTAAATGTTAGTTTATCACTGTAGGAAAGAATAGAGAGAATAAATTCTGTTCCCCTAGGAATAAATCTAAGGGTTTTCAAAGAGAATTACAGCCTGTGTACTATTCAATGATATTTGGAGTTGAATAGAAAGTTCTGAATCAAAGAGTTGCAAAGAATATCAAGGGATCATCTAACAGCCATCCTCTTGCCTGGGATACCCACAGCCCCGTTTACTCAGGCTGTGGGCTCCCTGAGAAGGAGACACAATCAGCCACTGTTTTGCTTTCTGCTCTGTTAATGCTGCCTTAGTCCTTCTGTCTCCTCTGACAGCATCGAGTCATTTAGATTTCGTTGCTTTAGCTGATCTCCATGCTTTCAAGCAGGTTCCGTAAGCTAGACATCCAATTCTAAGACTAAATGGAGCTTCACTAAGTGTCCTTAATGACCACACCTAATTCCTAGCCTGAAGGAGGGAAGCTGCAGCCAACTCCCTCAATCCTCAAGAACAATGATGCCAATAGAACCCCGTGTGGTTAGGGAGCTTTGGTCTGGTCTGCAAACACCAAGCGTGCCCTTACCCCAGTGGGTCTCCATCTTGGTTGCACATTAACTACTCCTGTGCTTTCCCAAGCAGTGACCACAAGCCACAGGTCACTGCTGAGCCCCTGAAATGTAGCCAGCCTAAATTGAGATGTGCTGTAAGGGTAAAGAACAGACTCTGTTTCAAAGCTTTAGTCTGAGAAAAAGAATGTAAACTGTCTCTATCGTTGTTCCACTGGTTGTTGAAAGGTTAATATTTGGAATCTACCGAGTCAAGTAGAATTTATCATTAATATATTACTTTCATTATTTATCAATAAGATATGAATATTATATTAAAATTATTTTCACCTTTTAAAACGTGGCTACTAGAAAACATAAGATTATATGTGTGACTCTCTTTATATTTTTATTGGATAGTGCTGCATTATCAACTCCCTTTATAATTTTGAGGGTCCCAACATCCAGGCCATGCCCTAGACCAATGAAACCAGAATCTCCAGGAGTGAGAATCAAGCCATGTGGTGACCAGAAACACTCTGTGTTGAGAATATAGGAGGAAAAAAATTGTTTTTTCCTATATACAGCCTCATTTTAACAGATGAGGAAACTGAGTCTCAGAGAAGTTAAGTAACTTACCCAAGGTCACAAAGCCGGCAGGCGGTGGAACTGGG